CAGTCATTCAAGTTGGATGTTTTCAGCTGCCCCCAATATACAACACTGTTGACACTAAGGGAGAAGCATAAAAGAAGTCCTAAAGTCACAAATGATTAGAAGCTTGCAGGAGTATTGGAGTACTCTGAGAAAGTAATACAAAGGATTTTTCCTATCCGTAGATACTTCTCTCTAAACATGTCTCTGCTGGAGACAGAGCACTAATTACAAGAACCTTGGGTTTGACCTAGTATGACCATTCTTACACTGAAAATCCAATTAGCTCAAGCACCCAGGACATGGGTCTGTTTTAACTAAGAAAACTATTAAATAAATTACTGTTCTGTAAAATAATTGACAGCAATTATTTTTAATCAAAAGAAATAGGACATTCTTTTCTTCTTGATTGTTCACTGGGGACCTGAACTCTGTACCTTTCACACCATACAGTAATAAGCCAGACATACATACTATTGCAGCAAAACATTTTGTACAGTTATGTTCCAAGAGGACCATAATCTCCGCAGCTGAAATAAAGCCAACCTCCTTTCAAATAGGATACAATATTAATTAATTCAATATATTGATAAAATTAGGCTTCTCTGGAGAGATGCAAACACTTTCCATTTTGATAATATTGTTATTATCTAAAAGGAAATATTATGAATGAGAATATATCTGAGAGGAATTGTAACATAACAGACTCCACTTCACCTGATCCCCCATGTGAAGTGTTAAATAGTACCCTCAGCCTGTCTTGCTAACTGCACCACTGGATATAAAATGAGCCTAGGCCCATTATATTTAATTGAATTTTGTAAAATGTTTAACCCTTATTATAGCTCTGTTAAACAAGTAATGCCAGCACCCCCAACCCCAAAGAGTTGTTTTCAAATTTTACTCCTGCAAAACCACTGAAAACCCATCTAATACGCAACACGTTCAATCTGGGAAGGAAAACTATATATAAACTCTGTGATAACTATATTACTATGATAAATCAATTTTACCAAATCTGTTAGGTCCCTCTATGATTTAAATCATACCAACAGATGTTAAAGGTCTTAAAAGTAAACTTACTTACTTAAAAGTAAAAGAATAGTTCAGATAGGTTTAGTATCTTGTGCAGGAAGATGCATGTAACATACAGTGTTTACTAACATAAATACCTCTAAGTGGGAAGTCACCTGACTTGATGTACAGTATGGTCCAAGTAACAAAATGCATTGTATTAATGTGGTTTCTTTTCTTTGCACTTCTTACATTAAAATACCAATATTTCCAAGTTTGTGTTCGGTAATTCCAGCTAAAATGATGAAGAAACATATTTAAACACACTCACCAATGTACTTGACTTTGTTCAAGGTCATCCAAGTGAATTAAGTGAGAAAGGTCCTTTTAAACTCTTCCTGAACAAGACAGTTATTCCAGTAAAGCATGAAATATTATTAAATAAGGAGTTATAATACAGTGTTATCAATTGTCACATAAGAGCAATTTTTTTTTTTTATGTACTGCCTTTTACAGATCATCCATCTGGTCTTGTGCTGGAGATTTGTATTGAGACAAAGAAGGAGGAATGATTACAAGACCTCTCTCTGCCTAACAGTGCTTGTTTTCCTCTAAAAAAACTTTAAAATTTTACCAAGATGCATAGTACAGAAAACCTCCAAGAAATACAGAAGAAATAGATACAAGATTAAACAGAATGTGACACCTTCCTCAATACTTCCTAGTCCTATTGACAAATACAAATTTCTAAAGCTCTGCAATAAATCTAGCATGTAACTTAATGAAAGTACAACCCCATCAGATGACAGTGAGCAGCAATTTACCACCATTTTAAAAAAGACATGAATAATTGTTACATTCTTGTTCTAGAACACAAGATCTTGGAGAAGCAGCCCTACCACTACTCAAGCACAGTATTTATATTCCCTTGTGGGAATATAAACCACTCTTTACCTCATCTTTTCTCCCAATTAAAATTATACCTATACCAGTCTTTCAGGAAGCCTAATGATCACTGCCTTCTGCACTATTCTTTATCCTTCCTCTAAGTGAGGAAATGAGAGACCAGATGGATTTATTTGATAATTGCTTGCTCCTAATATAACAGTACATTCTAAAAGCAGAAGCTAAAAGCAGAAGCTTGATAAAACTGAAAGAGAACAAGATGCATCAAATGTGATAAAGGATCAGAAAGCTCCTTTAGAAGAAACCTCTATGACAGATGAAGGCATAGAAAGTGAAATGGCTTCCTATTTGAAAGGCAGGGAGAAAAGTCTGAAGTAGTAAACACAAGGCAGCAGGACCTAGAAATTTTACACAGAATTACTGAAGTGAAGATACGAACTAAAGAAACTATAGAATTATGGTAAATTTACTAAAGTTAACATTGAACTACGATGTCATGGTTGTAGCTTGGATTTCAAGAAGGAATACTGTTAAACGCAAGTCAGAGTGGTGATCTGAAAAAATCATGCGAATGAGGCAGTCAGGTCCAAGTCAGCTGGAGAGACCTAACCACAGTATGTAGAACTTGGTGGTTAGCCACACACAGCTCACCAATCCAGATGGCATGACTTCCATCCAAAGTTATCAAATCATCCTAATGAGACCACACATTGACAAAATGAAAAACAAGCTTTAGGATTTCTCTAGTGTAATCGGTATCTGTTTTTCAAGTCTTACCAAACTCAAAATGCTCCTGGAATGTTTTCACTCATACAGGATCAGCATTGGATTTAAATGAGGTACTAGCACCAAACACTGAAATTGCTCTTCCCTTCAACATAATTTTCCCTGGCATTAGAAAATTCACATTCTAGAAGCAGACACTACTGAGTAAAGCATAGTTAGAATACTGAGTAAAGCATAGTTAGAATAAGTTATAAAAGGCACAGATACTTAAGAGTTTCGCCAAGGTGATGGGTTAGGACAATGTCACCCCGTTTTTCCCAGGTCACATGAAACTAAAGATAAAAAGTGCTTTTACAGTGAGGTGAAATTCACTGAAATTCAATCATCACAAGTCTCTTGAATTGCCCTTTTACAAAGCTGTGATTTTCCATATTTAGCACAATTAATTAGCAATAGCAAAAGTAAGTTTTCATTCTTGACCATCAGACAAGGATACTACAATTAGTCTCTTCTGTGACTGGTTCCTCCCTTGCCCTAGGCTTGACATAATGGAAATTATCATTCCTTTGTAGAGACTCTACAGTGTTTCCTTTGTATAAAGGGCTACCAAGTTTCTTCTGGAGATTTTGTCCTGCTATTTGCACCTGATTTGCACACTAGTGCTAGTGTAGAGAGTTTTTGGTGTCGCTGTCTTTCTTATACTAGTCTCAGGTATCTTGGCACAGCACAAAATTGATTTTGCTAGCATAAGATCAGCATTTCTACACTTGCTAACAAAACTGTCAGAGACAGTTTGAGACAGACAAAAAATAGTGGGGAATTACTTTATCACAAGATGACACAGGTTTAAACCAGAAGACTGTTTGCTATGAGAAGCAGAGTTGCACAAACTTGTTTGATCAATAGAAACTGACCAGACTGATCAGTACACAAATAGTTAAATACAGAAATAAGGTAAGTGACCTTGTGAAACTTCAGATGAGAATTAATTTCTTCAAAGTCATCCAATAACCCTTAAGGTTCTCTTTTGCTGCCACACTGAACAGAAACATTACTACCTTCCCCTTTATTGATAAGAAAACATGACTTACACACAGCTCTAATCAACCATTAAAAACCCAACAGTCCCAAACTGGTTTCACATGAGATACAGAATCCAAACTAGCACCAAGAAACATGGTTATTCAATTGTAAGCAGCCACTTCCAAGAAACACCACATGAAAGCTGTTTAACAGTCATATTACTTGCATTATAATATAATTGAAAACTTGATTTAACAAATTCAGTTTTGAGAACAGTTCTGGGTTTGAAGCCTGAGGATAGCTGAAACAGTGTAAGTGGAAACTGATATCCTAGATGAGAACGGTATCTGCAAAGATCTAGCCAGACAGCAAATATGATTCATACCCTACAGCTTCTACCAGCCTCTGTAATAGGCACAATTTATACCAGAGAAAAATACTGATCTATACATTTAATCACTATATATTTTTATATATAATCTATATATTTAATCTCTCTCAGATTAATAGTTATGAGACTTACTTTATGAAGTCAGGTGCAGTCATCATTTACTCAGTCTTTTACTGATAACAATCACTATCAGAATACACTAGAATGTAATTATTTTTAAAGTCCATTTCTGAATCTGATCAAGTTGGGAGAAAATTCTGCAGACTGGTGTTGAACTGATTTAATTGGCTTAAGGTGATTAAGTTTATTCACCAGCTTATGCTGCATAAATACTACAACAATTAAATCATTTAAAGGGTCTATGGAAGAATGCACCAGTTTAAACTGTTTAAAATCTCTCAATTAAATTGGTACAATAACATCTAGATACACAAAATTAGATTCAGGGAGACAGTTCTGTTTTACCAGAGAAAATGGCAGTAAATTTGCTGAGGGTAAGCAGTAGAAATTCTGCTGATAAAAGGAGGAAAGCAACCACAACAGCAAAGAAAGCAAAGGCATAACCAAGTTACAGATAGTGTATAGGATAAGACAAAAACATTATAACTAAATATTACTGAATTGTGGCTGTCTTCCTCTAATCTGCCATGCCTGAGAAAAATTCAGTCTCAGTACTAATGAACTTTTCTGGGGAGAAAAGGAAAACAGATACCCAGTAAGAGTTTATTAAGATAAAATTATATGTATAAAAATATACTTTATGACAATTTTTCAGTATTACAGCAGTAGTATATACTATTAACAGATATTCCATACCAGTCCTTTTGTTTTTTTAAGTTAAAACCAAAATCCTTTCTTGTACTTTTAAAGATATTTGCTTCCTTGAGCTAATTCACTTTTCTTCTGTTTGCCATCTGTGTGTTCCCATGGTTTCTGTTTCTCAGTTGTTGCAGAGGTCAATGCTTCAGAAATCAGGATGAAAACTTAGCAGATGGAAATCCTTTTGCAAAGGATAGCTGTTTTCATCCAGCACAAAATGGCTCCTAATTTCCAATAAATAGGATGCTTCCGTATCTGCTAGCAGCAAATGACACAGATCTGCTACTATTGTGCTGTAGGTTATATCTGAAGAGGGCACTGCAAAAGACAGAACAATCCAATTTACTCTTTATTTTCACCATAGCACCTAACATTCAAGTTTCACTTTCATGAAAGCTACACTGAATTACTGGAAGTGTAGCTCAACATCTGAATAGAAAAATAGCTTTTTAAAAATAATTTTTAAAAAACAGTGTGCTAAGTCTGTTTCTCATTAATCTGTAACACCTGTGAATCATGTAAAACACCTCTCGAAATCAAACAGGGTGTATCAAGCAGAGCCTGTCTGAAATACGGCTCAGTTATTTACATCATAAAAACATGTCAGCTGTTTCTGAAAACTGCTAAGAGATTATATTTTGCATATAAGGAATCCATTTAGTTACTGAATACTTAGTTATATAACATATAATGCTCATACCATCTCACTTCTTGTTGCTACCTCAACTCATAAACTGAGTTTGTCAGACAGCAACTGAAGTGTTCAAGGTTTTTTGTAAGTCTCATACAGTATGAGCAATTCTCGTATTTCCAGAACAATCTCATCCCAATTCTAAATTGTCAAGAATTAAAAATTTTACTTCCATTGCGACATTTGCTGCCTGTTTCTATCACAATTCATGAAACAGTACCTACTAATCTGTTCAGCCAGTCTGCAGGAATATTGAAGAAGATTTTTTCCATCAACTCAGACACCACATGAACATAAATTTCATATCCTCCATCTTCTACTGTCATCAAAGCAGGTCTAGATCAGAAAACAAGACTCTTGAAAGTTAGCTGCTATGGTTTTTTGTTTGAAGCAAAATTTCTGAATGAAACTAACAGAATGTAATACTACACTCCAACTTAACACCAAGAACCAGAAAAACTAGAAAATCTCTATGCACTCATCTCTGTCAAAGCTGTAGAGTTGGAATGAGTTTGAGATATACATACTGGTTTTACTACTCAATGTTAAAATAACTTCTAAAGCTATCAAGTCTTACTTTCAGACAATTGCAGAAAACAATGCTTTAGCAGTGGTCTTGTCCTGGAAGATAAGAACTGCACTGTTATGAAATTAGTGTTACATCATTTATGGCTTTGAACTTTATAGATTAAAGTATAAATGTTAACATGTAAGCATACATACCTACAAATATACACAGGGTACATAAAGATTTGAAATGCAAAGCAGGGAGACAAGCTTAGGTGTATCACTTAGAATTCTGTCATCTGTAACAACATCACCTAATATTGTCTGTCTTAATATGCCACGACATGATACCAAGAGAATCTCTTGTACTATGACAAATACCAAATGGTTTCACATACTGCTAAACAAGTTAAAAACCCATCCTCTTCCTGGGAAACATGTTCTGCATAGGATATGGTCAACAGTATTCCTGTTAGGTCTGAAATGAGTGTTGTTAGGGACTGCTGTCCCACAAGCACTGGTCTTTCCAAACTTTGCTGTTTCACATGATTCAGAAGTGATATCAGATGACAAGCAACTGGTAAGAAGTTTTTTTTTAGTACAGGTATTCCCTACATTTCAAGTGTTTGTTTTCTTTCCAGCCTGTCATTATTGATGCCATACCTTTTTTATTGTTCTCTCAAATAAGTCCCTGCTATTGGTTTTTGCTGTGCTTCTGTGAGATGACACCTTAGCAGTCATCTATAGTGATGTTCATAACAGGCAGTTTCTGCTTGCTTTTAAGCTTCTGAGTGATTTTACAAAGCCTAATTGTTTATACAGTTGATGCAGCTTCTACCCAAACTATGCTCTTTGACCGCCCTATCACAATTTGACCTGCACCATCACAATCCTCAAACTTTTTAGAAAATCTGCACTGCTTTGATCAAAGCAGAATGCAGTGCTCATATCCTGACCATCCCACAGAAGAAACTAAAATAGTAAACATCAGGACATATCACAATAATGTAAAACCTGGTTATAGTAATATTGGAACAGTACCAAAACAGAATATATTAAATACAGTAGTAAAATAAGGCACAATCACCTTCAGTGCAGAACTTTTCAATAGGAGATGCTCCCAACAGGATAAAATGTGCTTACTGCAGAGATGGCAGAAATTAAAGAAGGGCAGTCACTTTGACAGTGCAACTCTGCTAGTATCTTAAACAGGAACAGTCAGCCAGTACTTCAGTATATTGACAACTGGAGAGTGTTAATAGATTAATCTAGTTGGCATAACACAGAATATATCTAACAGCACTAATTTGAATGCCTGTGAGGCACAAAGGCAAATGACTACAAATAGGCCACTCTCCCAGTAGACAAATCCTTTGACTTGCCATCTGTTAATCTAAAAGCTACTGCTAAAATTCATAACCCTAACTGAAGTGATCAAAAGATATAAGAGGACTCCATGTCTGATTATCTGTGGGACTATTTCACATCTGTTGGTTTAGACAGAAACCAAGGCTCAGACTATTTGCAGGCATTAAAGACTACTGGCTCCCTTCATGAGAGAAAGCTTAACAGTACACTTACATGCTCAGCTTGCCAAATAATTGCAGCCAATTGTTATTTTCTCTGAAGAAATGTATTTTGGTTTAGACAGTTTATGCTGAAGTACATGAAAATTGTAATGACTTCCAGAAATACTAAATTAACATTTGGAAACAGAATAATTAACTTCAATATTTTTGCAGAAAAATGTATTAAGAGATGTTGAAAAATTTAGTTTTCAAACCCATAGGCAAATGTGGTCTACAGATGTAACTCACAAACCAAGTGATGCATTAGAAAAGATCAATTTTGCTTCATTCCTGGTTATTATATGCTGACTACCTGCTTCTCAGTTTATACTCTGTTCTCAAGGTCATTTAAGTCTTCTTTCAGATAATCTTATTTACTCCAGCAAGAGCGAACTGTCATGGTAAGAAAGAAAATTCAACACAGTCTTCAAAACAGAGCCTAGCACTGTTAATTTTCTTTTACCAGTGCCACACAAAAATGCAATTTTGTGATTAACTTTATTCTTTAAATACCACTGTTTTTAATATGGTTGTCCTGGTTTGACTATTTCTCCTTTCAGGAGTTTTTCTTGCAGTTAAGTTTCTTCTAAGTAACTAAGTGAATTTAAATAATTGTAAGACAGTCAGAAATATATTTAAGGATATAACTAAATTTCACCAAAGGCATATACAGTTCTACTAAAATATTCCTTAGAGGCTACTGAGTAAATAGTCTTTAGTACCTGCATACAAAGCTGGTGAAGCATGCCAGCAAAATGGGCTTTTCCACTAGTACAGAAAGGTTAGATTCAATCCCTGCTGAGCGTAAGTACCTAGGAATCTCCTATCTCGTTACTGCTACTGTTAAAACGTTCATCTTTTTAATAAGACATGCACTCATTGGTATAGATGGAAAAAGGAATTATCTGAAGGGAATGCTACCATCATACCAAACTCCAGGGAAAATATGCTAGGAAACAAAGTTTGGGCAAAAACAGATATAAGAAAGAAGGACCTATCTGTGATATCTAAAATCTAGGAGGTGAGCTCTGAAATACAAAATATTTTTCCTTGCCTTAGTTTGTGATTTTTTCTAGCTTGATATTCATATTGTTCCAGCTCAAAAAGAATCTGGGAATGTTTACACACATTATATGACAGCACTTATGTAAAGTATAAGTTTCTAGGATCTTCTGCATCATTATTACTGCTACTGTTAAAGTCTTCAGTGTTCTGGGTTTCTAACTTAGGGAAAAAAAAAGCAAGCTATCTAAGCACACACATACGCATCTATCTTAAGCTTGTGTCTTCAGCATCTGAAGGAAAAGATGAGCTTCATTACAGTCACAGCAGGTTAACAAAACCGGGCTCTTACATTTCAAAGGAAAAAGATGATAGAGGATGACTTCACTGACCTACAGTATTGAAACCCAAGATTTCTAGGCTAAGTCTTAAATACCAACATCCTGTCATAATATCTATTTTCCTATCATAGTGTATTTCATATCTTAAATATTCACACTCTTAAAATTCTATGTTAGGTTAATAAGTTACTACATTCCCTGAATCAAAGCAGTAAATCAAATTACAGACTAATCCTATGTTTTAAGAAGTCTGCAGTGTTTAGTATTATTACATTTACTCATACTAAGTAGAAAACAATATGCAGACCTTACTCCCAAGGAGATGCTCGTAGCTATTGCATTGCTAGAAACAGAGCATACTGAACTTACTACCTCCTTATGTTGAGGGATTAAAACCAATCTGAGATCAGAGGACACGAATTAGCAAACTACAGGAAAAAATATGTAACTTTCCACTAGTTTATAAAACTGCACAACAAGACTAACATTAACCATTGCCATATCAAGCTGTTGAGCAGCACAATAATGCTAGGACAGCATATTTAGTTAATAAATTTCATTCTAACAAGACAGTTCTTTAGCAAGAGACAGATTTTTCTCCTGTTAAGATGCAAATGTACTAAGTTATCCTACAATATAGAATTTGGAAATACTACCAAGGAGATGCAGTCTTACTAATCAGAGCAAAATTTCAGTGCAAAAGTGACAGGTTTTTCTTTGAAGAAGTTGTGCATTTAAGATGTGTTCAAATGCTGAGAATGCAAACACTGGAAATCTTATTTTTTCTATCACCTTTTGTGCAATAGAGTAAACTGAGGTCCTTCAGGACCACATGAGAGATCATAATCTTATGAAACAGAGGTAGAACCTTTTCAGTTAAGAAACTCTTTGCACTTAATCCCCCCTCATAGGAAAATAAATAGCATATAAACTTAAAGATGCAAGACTATTTTGCATAGAGGAAAATGACTAAGTCACTACCTTGTTAGACAAATGGGATTCTAGTACTTAAATCAAAAGCCAAGTGAGAAACTATTGACTGTGTAATGATTTATTCAACTCGCTATGAAATAGTTTAGGGATAATTTTAGGAAGAATCTTGGTAGAAAATTTACATATTCTACAATTCTATTACATCTATGATTGCCTCAACCTTCTCTAATGTCTTTCAAGTCGCTATAATTTTCAAAAGCCCGCAATAAAAAAATTAAGAATTGAACAATCAGTTAACAATATTGTTCCTACATCAACTGGATCTGTTTAGTTTATTTTCTCTAAGTGTGCACATACATCTTGTCTCACAGTGCCATCTGCTGATAACTTAGTATCTCTGCTCTCTATGAGAAGGTTACTGAAAACATTTGTTAATATTATTTCTGCAAGGCTAAAACTGGTTAATCAGTTTAGAAACACAGTTGTGCATTCACATGATCTCAAACTTAGGCCAAAACAAGATGCTCAAGTTTTCCTTTGGTCCTCAAGCTTCTACTCCATCTCAGCTCACTGACACAGTACAGGGTAAATGTTGTTACTATACGACATAAGATTCAAAGAAATTAAAAAGTTAAACAAAGAATATCACCTATAAATAATGGCAATATAATACAGCAATTCCAGAACAGCTCCTTGAATATTCTTTAGAAAAATAGGAATTGCTAGCCACACCTTATATATAGAATTTTATGTATGTAGAAGCTTAACATGGAGAAAGTTTTAGTTTACTTCCCTAACAGTGCATGTTATTTTAGTTTTATTTTGTTTACCTGTAGAATGTTTTTATTTTGTTGTATGGCAAACATCTAATACATTGCTTGTAGATCATGTTCTCATCTGCCTGTAGTTCCAAACCACATTTAGCACAACCTGAATACGTAATCATAGGCAGAGAAGCCAAAACACACTCCAGTGAAGTATCAGCATGGAAAGTGAGTTGCTTGTACTGACCAGTTGAAATGGTAAACTTCAGTTCTAAGATACGGGCTTTCACTTGAATCACTCCTACAAAAACAACAGTTTCAATCAAATCTGCATTCAGTTTTATTTATAACTGAAAACAAAAGCAAGAGTTACAGCTGATTCAAACCCAAAATCTTTATCAATTACACTCAATTTTTTTCCCTTTAGTAGCAAATGCTCATATTTTGAGAGATGATTTATGCAGTGAAAGATCATTGTGGTTAAATATTATTCGAAAATGTATAAAAGTACTACATTTTCAGGTACTATTGTGGTAGACACCACTACAGAAGGGCACAAACAAGAGATCAAGAGATTAGAATTGTGCCAATAATTTCCAATTGCTTTTCTTCCACACCAATTCAGACACACTGAAAAGCATAGTTTTAACAACTTAGCTTTCCACTATTTATACATAAACTAGAGTTAAACGCTGCAATACCAACTTTATTTAGCTACTTCTTAACGTTTAACACCGACTTTAGCAATCTTCTAGGTTTATCTGGGAGGCAGTGACTGTTTAAGATGTATTCTTTGTTCTTTTGTAAGAAGTTACCAATAGCAGCAGCTATTTTACTCTTTAGAGAATTCCAGTTTTAGAGAAACACTATTCAACAAACTTTCAGTGATTAACCACATTGTTACTAAACTGGCTGGCACAGTCAAAAGGCAGCATTTCTCCCTGTGTTCCAAAGCTATCTTTGTACAGCACCACATACCACACCTATCTCATCTCTGGGCTCACTGCATGAAGGCTGCATTCACAGTTCGGCTGGGTAATGAGCAGCAGCCTCCACAATAAATTTAGACTCCCAGAACTGTGATAACTTTAAAAAAACCCAACATTTTACCTGATCAACAGAGCATCTGTTTTGTTTAGTTATGCACTGCACAACAGACATTAGTGCTATGGATAACTTTACCTGAGCATTTTTCCTCCAAATGTGCTGAGAGCTTTGTCATCTGCTTGAGGGATGTTTTGCTTTTCTGAAACTTTTCTTTAAATTCAATTGCCCTTTTGTCATCATCAAACAAGCACTCATAGGATGACCATGGAGTTGTGTGTAGTTCAAAGTCACCTGAGACAGAACTATGTTGGACCAGAAGGTATTTAAAGTCCCATAAGTGATCTACAGAACAAAAAGCAAACAAGAGTTTACTTTCTTGGTTCCTTTATAGAAAGCCAAAGTCACTTACAAGATTGAGAAACAAATTAGCAAAACATTCTCATACGGTCAGCTCTGGCATCTTTATTTCAAGCCTGATGACAGGTAGGGTTTTTCCCTTCCTTTTCCTATAAACTTTGCATGAGTACTCCCATAACAGAACAATGCTTTCATTCCACTTGCACTGAACTCAGCTTTCAGACAACTCAACTTCTTGAAAACAAAACCAGATCTGAAATTTCTTGTCAGCTCTAATAAGGAAAAGTTGGCAATGTCTAGAAGAAAAAATTTTCATGTTATTAACTTCCATCCTTATGTCTCTGTTTTTTAATCTTCTATCTCCATAATACTCTGATTTAAAAATATTAATTCATTTTCCATCTTCCAATTGAGTCTGTAATAAAGAAAAATACTTTAAAAATGGAGATTACAGAATAATATATTTTGGGTTGTCCTTTACTGTTATAAGAATCCAGTATTCACCTATAATCAAGTTTGACAACCATTTAGGCTGTTCCCCCCCGCCCCCCCCATGTTCCCTCAAGCTGAAAGTTGCAGCCAAAATAATAATTTTTGGAAATAAGGTTAGAAAAATACCAATTTTTAAAAAATGTATTCCAGTGTCTGTATAAGCATTTTATTAGCATGTTTTAATATTTTCATATTTTAGATTGGTCTGATTTTTTGTGGTAACTTGCTAAAACTTGAAAAAAATCTGTCAGTGTTTTACAGTAAAATACTCCAAAACCACCTTCTCTGAGCATCAGTCTAGTTTCATGCCCCTCATATCTGACTAGAGATCTTGCAGCCCCCCAGAACTGAGCATGCTCCAGTCCAAAGCAAAATTCAGACAGTAACACTACCAAAACACTGAGGGAAAAATCTAAACAGGAGGAAACAAATGGGCACTTGGCAAGAGGTGATATATGGAAGTAGAGGACATAGTCTAACTAGGGTACAAGATTTAGTTGATATTTGAATTTAACCTATTGTTCAGATCTTCAACATTCCCCTGTTGATTAGAAAACTTACCACAAAACATGAATAAGCTATAAGTATTTTCAAAAATTTATTTAATGAAATAAATCTTTTTTTTTTTGGTAATCTAAACCAGATGAGCATAAAGCATGAACTGAATATCTGATGACTAGATACTGGAAGCTTGGACTGATTTTTAGTTAAGAGATGAAAAATAAATTTAACTTTTACTGGAAATGATTTTTAGATGCTCTAGAACTGTACAGTCTTACACACTTTATGTAGACAGTTTAAAAATTACAAGCCTCTATGCCTTCCTCTGCAAGACTATGAAGTTTCTAATCTGCTAGTACAACCAGTAAACTCATACCACAGCTGTGCTATGACTCCTAGCAAGGATGGACATCATGCTCTTCCTGTAACCCACTCACACTATTTAGCTGATGCATATGTTTTAGTATCATGTGCATTTATCTTTTTGGCTATCTTACCGGGATCAAATATTCGTGATTTGTCTATGATTAAATATTTGAACATTCAAGAAGTCACTTTTATCTTGAATTTCAGATAATCCTTTAATCATTAAAATGCCAACTGCTAGATGCACAGAACACTAGCTGGAGTAAGACATAAGCTTTACATCAAATACAAACACTTAATACTGCAAAGACCTACATCTTAAACTTCTCTGCTTTAAGCATCAGAGAATGATATATTATTGGGTCACAGACTTTGGTATCTTCTTTCTGCAGCTACAAAAAAACTAAAATTCTGTATTTTGAGAAGTATAATATTCTAGCATTCTAAATTCTGTAAGATTTCTAAGCATCTAACAAACAGTATATACCTGTTTATGCTGAAGCCTGTACAAAAATAAAAAGCCATGTAGGTATTATGTCATGAAGTTAACTGGACCATCTTCTTCAAGTAGTTTAAGAGGTAGGTCTCAGTTAAATGATTTCTAGGAGTGGAGATTACTTAAAAATTGAAGTGGAACTGGCATAATTCAGAGTGTCTACATTTAATAGGTAAAGATTCACTATGAGGTTGTCTAACATTTCTGGGTTTCATTTTGCACTATATGAAAACTGGCTTTTTAGGTAGACATATTCAGTGCTTCAAGTAATACAGCATTTACTTCCTAAGAGTATCCATTGATTGGAAATACAAACTCTTAAGTTAACAATTTAGCAAAAACCTAGTTTCATTTATTTTAAAAGAACAAAGCCAAGAATAAACCAAAATTCAGTAGCAGTCACTGCTAAAACACAGGCTACGTGATTCTCATAAGAGATGCTTTTAGTCAAGTTACAGCTAGACTTCATAGCAAGATCATTAGGATACAAAGTCTGACACTGTAGTAAAGTGGAAAGTCAAGAATGAAAGTCAGAAGCAGAAAAACAGCAATTCATGCTAAACCAGACAACAATAAGTAAAACTCAGCAAAACTGGTAACACAGTTAACACAAGTTGTTTTTTTTTTATAGTTACATAACTAGGCACCAGTGAATCTTGTATCTAGATTCAAGTTTCAAGTACTCGTGCTTTCTCAGTCTTCTAAAGTGAGTGCATTCAAAATCTGTTGTTGATGGCACTGCTTCTAAACAGGAGACATGTTAAAATTGCTATCAAATACACTGCCCTTCTAAGGGGAGTATTTAAAGGTTTAATGGAAAAAGTGTTACCAGCTGAGCATTTTAAAGATATTAATAGCATCACAGAAATAATCCTTTTACAGCTACTTATAGGCACAAAGACTTTACCTTTTTTCCTTTGAAGATGAGGGTGCCAGGCAGCCCCTGCTCCCCACAGCACCATCCTATAGTGTTGATCTCTGTTCTGTTCTACTGTTAGAATAATTTTTCTTTGGTTGCCACCTCTGTAGCTATACACAGATTCTGAAAAAGTTTGAAATTATATGACTTCTACAGCAAAAAGCACATGTCTCAATATTAAGATGAAATCATGCCACTATCTTATTTTACAGTACAATTATAAGCCAACAAGAACACACCTACAATTTCTTCAGGACAGAATGAAAGCAATCTCATTTCTTCAGCAACAGGAATCTAGTTAAAATGAATGCATAAAGTATACTGATTTACCTTAATCCACCTACATACTCAGCAACTGGGCACCTCCCTTTGAAACAGCAGGTATCTGAGCATCTTTCAGCTCCAACTCATCCTGACTGGTCTAAGTGGAAAGAAATTGTACTCTCAGCAACAGACTGTCATAATTGGAAGTTAAAGTTCCTGCATCTTCTGTGGGGTACACTGAAAGAAACATTTCTCTAGAATTTTTCACATAAGAAAACTAGTCATGTACAAGGACACCAACAGAATTAGTAACAGTACATATAAATTGAAACAATTAAGATATCTACAGAATTCTTACCCAGGATACTACCTGTAAGTTTCAGTTCCACACCAAAACTACAGTATTTTTCATGAACAAATAACTTTTGAATAAGAACTCTTGCTTTAAATATCTAACAGTTCTCAGACTTATCAACAATAATAAATTATGAAGATTTCTATCTTCAAAATTCTCCATTTATAATGAATAAATATGATACTGACAGTGTGGGTAAAAATTTGAACCTTACTAATACAAGATAATAGTGCAATATGATCCAATTTATGTGCAAAGCTTGAAGTTAAGCAGTGAGAAACAGTGGTACTGTAAAGAAAAGACAATCAGAACAGTTAGGGAAAAAAAGAGAGGAAGAATCCTTTTCCAGATGGGAACAGTCATGTGTTTTAACTGCCCAAAGCATGTTAAAAGAACATGGTAAGACACTGCACAAAATATTGAGAATGCCCCAAAATAACTTGTTTGGTTTTTTAATTTCAGAAGGTGGTAAAGATGCTAGGAAGTAGCTCTAAGGCTTGGTTATGAAGAAATGGAAACAAATTATCAATTTTAACATGAAAAATTGCTTCAGCAAAAGGAATCCTGAAATAATTGCATTCACTATTAGAAGAAAAGGAATGTGTGACAGAAGAATAAAATTAAAAAAATCAGCACATGGATTGTTGACCATGATTCTTTGGGGGAGAGGAGTCATTACAATAAAAATATACAGCAAACTCAAACTTCCAAACCAAATCATATGCATGAGGTAGTTCTGTGTCGTGCCTACACAGAAGAAACAGGAGTATCACAATAAGACTTCTTAGTTTCACGCTGTGCATTTTCCAGTGTTGAAAAATAAAAAAACTTGTACAAAAAGGCACACAAGTAAGGATTACTATAAAGAAATATTGCACATATTTAAGAAATCAGGAATGCTTGGCTGAAAATTTGTTCTAAGTAGGAAAAAATAGAAAGAAATAAACTTTCCGAATAAAGCATGAGAGCAACACAGTTCCATTATAAAGTAAGAAAGGCAAACAAATCCTAGAACATTAGATAAAAATAATAACTTATTTCATTCTGAAACACATGATTTATAGTACAATCAAGTTTTCCTTTAATGACATGGAAGGTAGCTGTCAGGTGAGCTTTGAATTACTAAAGCTTGACTGTCCCACATGACATTTTCATGAACCAGCCCCCTTTCTCAAGCAGTCTACAGCAAGAATGTACCTCTTGCATTTCAAGAGCCATTAAAAAACATATTTACATTTCTCCACTGTAATTGCAGTATCTCACTCTTTTCAGCACTCCTACTATACACACATACCTTCCCTGAAAAGGATTTCAAGCCCACAATCCTCATCTAAGATGTTCATGCTGCCATTCCATCTCCCAACACTATACTTCATTCCTGTCTCTCTTTTCAATCCTCCACCTTATTAAAGATCAGGTACCACACCATTTGGAGCTGTGGAGACTCTCAAGCCATCTCACCGACAAGTCAATACATTAGTAACCCAGTCCGCGGTGAGCACTCATTCCTTAGTGAAAACACCCCAATCCCTCAGTGAGGGGGAAGACTGATGATCAGTGCCCACTGCCTGCACACTTCTCCCACAGACACACATGCTATTGATCAGCACTAGTGTGCAGCAACCGTTCAGCAGCTGACAACAGTCATTTGTTTCCTTCCTGTCTGTAACTCCATTTCCCTAATTGCTGTGCCCCTCCCGAGTGGATCATTACAAGAGTTTCATTTGTGACTCCTATGTCAAACACTGGGGTGTATGGAATGGTAAACAACCAGTTTTACAATTGTTTTACAATTGTTGAACTTTTGCAAGTTCAAGTCCAGTGCATGAACTTACCTGTTAATACAACAATACTGATAATTTTCAAGATTGAGTGAACCAATGTATTTGGTTGGAGCTGGTCTAGCTGCGTATACTGTATACTATCCAGTCTCTGAACTTGTCTTCGTGGAATGTCTCCAAAGTGTGGTAATTCTGATGATATGTATGCCAATAAGCCACGGAGAATACCACCATCCACTATAGGATAAACTTACATGAAAAAACAAAGTTAAAGGGACACCTTTTTTTTTTTAAGCTTAGAGGTACAAAATTTCAGTTGGTATATATTTATACTAACAAACCCAAACCCAGTTCACAATAATTCTAAGGCAAGAAATTCTTGAGATGTGCAACACTTGACCCAAAATTAAACTGTACTTCATCTGCCTCCTTTTGATAACATCCTAAAGTTAATATTGTATTAAAAGTTTAATAAATATTGTATTAAATAAAGTTATATTGTAGATTATACCAAAAATAGGAAAGAAATCTTGTATTGTAGCGTGGTAAGAATAGCTGTTCTTGATCATTTACCCCAGAACCTGACTTAAATAACTTGCAATAACAGACATCAGGAAGACAGTGAGAACAATGCAAGTTTACGGAAGTATCAGTTTCCACTGTGTTTTCCCCTTAGTCCCCAACCCTCCACGGCTCAGATATCTTTAAAGACTTTGTGCTTAATAGCCTGCAATTAATTACTTTCCCTGAATAGATCCACTTTCTCCATAAGCCTCTAACTTTTTGCAAAAAAATTAATCTTCATAAAATCTGACATCTTATGGTTGAGTCCCAGGATAACTGCTCTTTCTTAACCTAAGCTCAAAGAATTCATTTTTTTGAGTCTTGAATGGTAACCACCCAACTTTACCATAAACTCCACATGCCTATCCAATGTCATCATGTCCACATCTTCTCCACAGGTGTACCTGTCACTTTCCTATAGTGTTTTGTACCTCCCACTTGCTCACATTTCCATTTTACTCTGTGTATGAGGCTTTGCCAACAAAATGGAGTACTTTAGCTACTTTACTGTGATTTTTGTGGAAACTTATGCACTACAGTCTTACATTCTTCTGGATTGACAGCTGAGCAGTTCCCCAGATTCAGTAACTGACTGGTAAATGTAGATTGCAGCATGATTTCTCCACACCAAAGATTCTCATACATTATTATATCTGCAAGAAAAAAGCAACCTTATCAATTTATGTATCAACAATATAGAAGCATATCATACTTTTCTTGACTACAGAACCATCATACATACAGGTGTGAAAGAGTTTGAAAGAGATCACTTGGAAACAGTGATTTTTTTAAAATCTACCAACACCATTTACAATGAGTTAATCAAATTTTCTCAGTAGTCTGATGTAATTCTTCAATTCATATAAGATATTCAATAGCATTATAGCAGGTACTGTGTAGTATAGCAGGTACTGTATAAGTGAAGTAGGTGATTTTACTGGGTAAATTATTGTGCAATATTTCAGAATGAGCAGTAAAGTACTAGGCTTACCCAGAAACACTTCTGTTGTACTTTGAGATAAGAATGTCTACAGAGAAAAGAAAAAGCCCAACATATCTTCTATCTCTTTAAAATATCTACCTTTGCACTGCCCTATAAGCACTTAAAGACTCTTAAAAAGAAATAGGCATCTTAAACTGTAGAAATAGTCAAACAATTTTATATTGTGTAATTCTTTTGCATATTGCAAAACTTAAATGGCCAGATCACTATGAAGTTCTGGCCAACTCCAGCCTTAGATTAGCTGCGATATCATGTTTATAGTAGTGCATTCTCTTACATGAGATGTGTTCTCTTAGAGAGGGTTTTGCTTCTGTTAGGTATTAAAGAGTACAAAGGATTTATCAGGAGGAATCTTCATTATTAGCTCATATGTTATGAAAAAGGTGAACTGCAAACAACACTTTGTATTTCCGCACTCTATGTCAGTTACTAATTGACAACATGATCCATCTCAAGATGGCAGTGCTAAGCTATGAAGTCCTTCACAGGAGGAAAAGTATTTCTCATCCTGAGACTGAACATAATACCACAATCTTCTGGTTCGTCTGTTGGTCCAACAGCAGAGAATTACAAAGAAGTGTATAAATCAAATGACTAGCACATCTGGTTTGTAGCAGCACTTGTAGCTTCCAGGAACAACTGCTTTAAAACACTGACAGGTTACAGAATACACCTATTTACGGCACCGCTGCTGTGTCAATGCACTGCTCTGTCTCAGACCAAAGACTATACATAAGAGACAGGCAAACTTCTGTGGGACAGTCGGGTGTTCCACTGGCAAGATGACAGAATTCAAAGTGATGTTGAGTGATATAAGTGATCTAAGAAAGACACTTACAAATGCTTAGCCATAGTTCCAAATCACTTGTTACATACTGTTCTACTTTAAACAGACATTTTAGATCCACATTTTAAAAAGGCAAATAAAGGAATACTCACCTGTAAGCAGTACAATATCCCCAGGAAATACAGTGAGTGACCAAAATGCAGCACCACGCCACAGCACCACCTTTCTCTCAATTTCTGACTGGTCAATAACCACAATTGTTGCTACAGGAACTTTACATGAAGATTTTGGTCTAGTCTTCACCTGTATTTCTTTGATATGACAAGGATGTACTATTGTGACCAAAACATTGTACTTTTGATTTTTGTGGCAGCAGTTCTTAAGTGGTGATAGTTTCCTTTGAAGCTTCTTGAACTCCATCATCCTCTCTTGATCCACTCTCATCCCAGGACCAGCTGGAGAAGAATTCAGTTTAACTCTCTTTGATTTCAGCTGTCTTGTAAACACTGAGTGAAAAATACAAAAAGAATCTTCACACTTGTGGGTTCTTTTAGAAAAGCTCTTAGGACAGCTGCCTACTTGACAGCACAATATTCCTGATCTCAATGGTTCAATATGGATTTCATTTACAAATTGCTCAGTAGGAACATTAAGTTCTTGAGACTTCTTTGTGTTTTCCTGAACACTTCCTTCCTGTTTTGTAGCTTCAAAGTAAACACTTTTCCCATAACCCTCAGAGCTGAAAAGTTCAAGGGAACTTGCATACTCTTCCTTACATTCATTTTCAGCCACATTGAGACATGTTCCAACATCGGAATCAAACTGTAAGTGATCATAGTGCCTTTCTTCAGGTTTTTTGTCTGCTTCCATTTCTGATAGTTTTGTGATTATTTTCTGTATCTCATTCCGATCCTGTGCAAAAACAGCCACCTGACTTGAAGTCATTATACTATGAAATTCAGTATCTGTTGACACTGCGAAGTCTGAACAATCACTTAGTTCTCCTTTTGGTTTTAACTCTTGATTTTGAGGGAAAAACATATCCAGGGACTGACTTAGATGTTCATGTTGATCACTTCTATGATCTGATTGAACACTATGTCCCACAGACCTTAGATCTATGGTAATCTGCTTAGTACTGGCAACCAAATCAGAAATGTCAGAGCTGTTAACTTCTAAATGACTGGTTTTTCTTTCAGTGAGGTTTGAGCAACAGCCATGTGGTTTTTTATCTTGTCTAGTTGATTCTGGAAATTTTTGCAGAAGGTGCTGATCTGCAGCCTGATTTACATTTGTATGTGTGCATCTATCTTTAGATATTTGACAATCAGAATAAACTAAACTTTCAGTCTTTTTAGATGTGCTGGTACAGGTTACTGCCACAGGTACAAGAGATGTCAAATATTCTTTTGCAATCATTAATCTCCCCTGTTCAGACTGGTGAGAGCTGTCATCATTTGTAGGAGCTGCTGTGACTATAGAGCTTCCTGCCTGAAACACTAAGTGGTCAGCACCTTTGACTTTGTCAGAAAAAAGACTATATGTATCAAACAAACAGTGGAGTTCTCTCCATTTTTCAGCGGTAGGTGCTAAACTACTTTGCTCTGACACTTCCAGCGGTCTTGGAATACTGGGTGCTCCCACAAATATATGAATTTGAGGTCTTTTTGACATTCTTGATTGCTGTGTAAGTTTGATTTTAAACAATATGGTTTATGCAATAAGCACACTAAGTATTAGTAAATGCAAAAAATTGTATTTGGACTTTTCTTAACAGTTTAAAAATACCTAAAATTCAAAGTATTTCATAATTTAAGTGGTAAAAACACTACTACTTAAAGCCTATATAAATGTACAAAATAAAAAATGGAAGTAATTTATTGTGTCAAACTTGCATATAAAAATAAATCTTCAGTAGGGCTTAATTTCCAATTCTGATACTTGGAAACACATAGCAGATGCTCAGTTATAGTGAAGTTCAATTTAAGTTTAATTATTGAGCAGATTTATGTTCATTTATTATTGCTAATTAAACAGCCAAATGTGAATTCACTATTCAGTACTTCATTTTAATTCATGTGAAATAAGTGCCTGCAAAACTTTCACAGCATGGTTAGGAAATAATTTCATCTCCCAAAAAATTAGTTTAAACTAAACAATTAAAAATAGTAGAGCTATTTAAAATTAGCTTATAAGTTTGCTAAAAATGCAATGTTTTACATGCTGTTGTAGCATGAAAATACTGTATTAAGTGACTTATGAAATGGAAGGTTTCAGGATATTACTGATGAATTACAATTACTTAATAAGCACTAAGAGCTCAACAAAACTTGAGCAGATGATTTAGAATTTGCTTTAATTTATATAGTATTGTACTACCCAAGAAGTTACTAGCTTTTCTAGCTAATTAAAAACAAGTCCACCTTACACAGCACAAAACAAAAGACTCTTTAAATTTCTGCTATACTATAATTCTAAAATACTCAGCTACAGCTACAAGCGTTCATTAAAATGCAGACACCTAGCTAGGTGTTTTGGAAGTGTTGTTAATAGAAGTTGCTGCAATAAGCAGTTGTGCAGAGGTAGGAAATGGAACAGCAGAAGTCAAATCCATGAGCTAATCCGGCTGCAAACAGAAGAAAAACAGCATTGAAATAAATACAGCATTGAAAGAGATTTAAATTTTTCATTTAGCACTTATTAAATTAACAGCCATTTTCCTGACAATCCACCAGGGGTCGATAAGTCTGTACATTTGTAGAACTCACAGTAACATGGAAAAACTAGAAACATCCTGGAACACTGATCTCAGGTATATTATAGGTGTAACTGGAAAAATAATATACAACCACTAAAATTGGACATATCATGTCATAATACAAAGAAGCCACAAAACACAGTAACTAGTATCACTCAATTTCATGATCATCGCAAAACAAATAAAAGATTGGAGGATCCAAACTTCTGCAGTTGTACCTTTAGGATCATAAGAAAGCAACTTTTAAGGACAGTTCCCATACCTGTGAAAGTTTTAAGTTATATAATTAAAGAATGGTAATATACAAATAACCAAAAAGACAGAATTTACAGTTCAACACTAAAATAATGGCTCAGGTAAGAAGGGAAAGACAAATCAGAGTGATAGTGAGGTTGAATCCCTAAAGCAGTGATGTTAATAAGTTTTGTAGATAAAAGGCTGACCAATATATGACAAAAAACTTCAGTAACAGATCCCCTATGACAAACAGAAAATGCTACCACTACTTTAAATGAACTTTAGAACAGTAACCTGATTAGATTAAATAATTTCTTCGATTTCAAAATGTGCAAGTCTAGTGGTAGCTTTTTTCATTTGTTACTACCTTGGTTACAGCCATTATAAGCAGGTAGCTTTCTTAATTAGATACTCTACAGTATAACAATGTAAATATCTCTTAATAAGGAGGTTCAAGTGAATAAAAAGTTCAAATGAATTACAAAAGATTTCTTCCACATATGCCCTATAGTACAAAAGAGGTTGAACAGCAGAATTTGGACACAAATCTGTACCATTTTTAAAGAACTTGCATACCATGCAGAGATTAATGAGATAATCAGTCATTTCCAAACTGGGCTTTGGTAGAGTAAGCAGCTCTTTCACTTCAACCTTTACCTTCTACATGGGCTGAATACCAACCTGTCACAGGTGTAAGATACCATCTTATTCCAGTATTACTGTCTTGTTGCAAAAATTCTCAAGCATTATTTGTGCATCAAATTTCAGGGAGATAGAAATCTTAAGTGAACTAAAATATTGCTTACCTGCTTTCTATACCCTCAGAGTAAGCTTGTAACAGAGTTCTAAGTTTTCTTATAAGGAAAAAGTGAGATTCAACTGCACTGTAAGAGAACCCATTGAATAGCTCCATTCTTGATGAGTTCTGAGGACACTGGAAAGGCAATTTGGTTGCTAAACAGAGGAGATCATTAGAAAAGTACGTTTAGAGGTCAGCTTACAACATGAAGTTGCAAGACCTATCAGAGATTTTTGTATTCATAGAAAAGTTGATGCTTAAGATGCCACAGTGTAAAGGACCCCAAATTAAAAAACTGCCAAGTGTCCTAGATCATTTCATGTAAACTAAGGCAGGGCTTCACATGCTGTACTAGAGCAAGTTTTTGCACTTCATACCTTAAAACCAGAAAACAGTAACAAAAGAAAGCTTTTAGATAACGATGTATTTCACAGGCTAAACATACCTTTTCAATACTTGAAGTTCAGTATAAAAGTTTAAGATACTAGAAATGCAGTTGGATTTCAGTCTACTTCCAGAGATATCCCGTATCATATTTCAAGTGTATTCTTCCCATATTCAGGGTTGAACAATGAATTAACACTTAACACCTAAAGGAAAAATATCACTGAAGAATCATATTCAAGTCTGGGGTTTTTTTGGTTTGTAATTCTGTCTACTCCCCATATTAAAACCATGGAAACTAGCATTGTTTTTAATTCCTAAACACTACTACATTATTTTTAATAGAAAGCTTTACGCATCTCTGAAAACAAAATGTAAATCTAAATGCATCCCAATATCCCCAAGCTTTCTTCTCAGTTATAGACACAAACTCTTTATGCAGAGTCTGAATTAGACAAATCTGTTATCTTGGCATATTTGTGGTCTTCATAAAAACCTATTTACTATTTTTATTTCTGTCCTTGAGAATCAACTGGATGATTTCTTCTTACATCAAGATAAGATCCTTGTGGCAAAACAAGAGTTTTAGTTTTAGACTTAAATGACGGAAAAATAGAAGAAAACGAGAAGATAAAGATTATAGCAGAATTATGCTTAATGATTTTCATTTGTTATTATTTAGTTTTGTGGTTTGATTTAAGTAAAACTAAGCAAGCAAAACTAAGTAGCATGTGTGAGGATTAGAATATAGCAAAAAAGTAGTTATCTATCTCTCTGATTAAGGAAGTAAGGGTATATCACAGCATGAGAAGATTAACAAAAGAACAGACTATTAAAAATAAAGGAACAAATAACTGGAAGGTTTATGAAGATGAGGTTAGGAACAGGGAATGCTGTATTCCTGAGTCTCAATGTAAGCCACTCTTGGATCAGAAATGCATCCCACTAGCCCTCATCTTCTATGAAGTAAACTACCTACTTGGACACGTATTGAGATATTATACATGGGAAAGAAAAAGACAACTACTGTGCCCTGCCTTTTTTTTTCTTGAGGATTTCATTTTGTGGACCCTGGAAGATCTTGGCATAGTCTCACAGTACGTTCTAAAAAAGCTAATTCCTCTTGCAACTGTAGTACTTTTGATTCAGTAACAGTAGGCATGACACAACCAAATATAATTGAAAAAAATCTCTATGTTTTCCTTCCAGAAGAAATCATCTTTTTACATCTACATTTATAAATACACATTAAGATCTGCAACTAATAGTAAGGAGTACATTGACACAAGTTCAGACAAGTACCTGAGTATTTGTTTGACATGACAAAAATGTATGAATAATAAATAGTGACTTATTTACTAAAGCATTAAAACCCCACCAATGACAAAAATCTGTGAGCGACTGATCACAAAATAAACTGAACACTGCCAAGATCTACTACTGTATACATACAGGGACAACTGATGTCATTAAACAACTGAATTTCCCTGAAACAGATTAAATTGAATTTACAATAGGATGACAGCTATGCCAACTTCTAGTACAAAAATGAGTTTATTAAAGATGTGAGCCTCTATACAAATGTGATGTGAATAAATATCTGGTATATAAGAACACACCTGAAATAGTATTGCATATGAAACGTGTTAAATCAGATCAATAGCAGTAATTAAGATGCCAATAAAACTTTAATAGGAAAACACTTTTCAAAACAAAAATAACTTCTATACATAAACTTCTAAACATGGATAAAGTTATTTTATCAGCCTCTCATTTTAGCTAGCATTTCTTTTGATTTTTGTCATGTTTAGAGATTAATAAAAGTTATACATAAATTCAGAAAGTTTTCCTTAACCTTCTAGTTCCATAACTCCTCTAAACTTAGGGTTTTCTTTCCTGATTCATATTTTGTAGTGCACATATATTACATCAAAACAGTTGAATCTTGATGTTATTGAATGAATTTTTGCAACTAAAATACCATTTATTTTTTCAAAACCTAAAATTTTGATTTTTCTTAAGATTTTGAGCTTAAGAATGGTAAGTGACCTCTGTCTACTTCCTGGTTCACCTAATGAGTCCACTATCAAATGACCTGCTTTGGCAATTTCCAAGTGACTTTTTAGGTCAAAGATACCAAACTCGAGTACCAGGAATCATCAGTACTTACAATCATTTAAGTCTGCAAATCAGAAAAAAATTAACATTTCAGTAAACTGTCCGTACACAAAATTTTTAAATAATCTTCACTATGCTTCTTTAGAACAGTATTATTAGCTATTTAATGAGTTTTGTTAGTGAAGTTCTATGCCTTAAAGAAAAAATCTAAAAGAAGAATTCTTATTACAGATGTTAAAAAAATAAATTATCAATTCTATTAGCAAAATGCCACTGCCACAAAACAAATCCACTTTTATACCATAGCTAAATTATCTGTGGGTAGACAGAGGGTTAAGTACACCAAAGATAACAGGAGCTAAAGCTCATAAGGATATA